TAGCTCAAAGTGCTAGCCTTGAACAAAAATTGCATAGGGACAGCACCCAGGACTGAGTTCAAGCCCCATGACCGACAGAAAAAAAAAAAAAAGAAGAAGATGCAAAAAAAGTAGGTTAATATCAAACTTTAAAAAAGCCTTCATCATCTTTTTAAAAATTAATATAATAATATATAGGGAATGTTGCTTTTTATTATACAGCTCTATGATTTTTTTCTTTTACAAATAAATACAAATATAGATAGGTATAACAAAAGAATTACCACCTCAAGCAAGAACAGTTAGATCCCTCACCAAAATACTCATGTTCCTTTATTGTTAACCCTGCTGAGCCAACCCAGTCCTGACAACTACTGGTCAATTTCTATATTTGGTACATTTCTTTTTTCTTTTTTTTTTTTGTGTGTGTGTCCGGTTGTGGGGCCTGAACTCTGGGCCTGGGCACTGTCCCTCAGCTCTTCAGCTCAAGGCTAGCGCTCTAACACTTGAGCCCCAGCGCCACTTCCGGCTTTTTTCATTTTGCTTATGTGGTGCTGAGGAATCGAACCCAGGACCTCAGGCATGCAAGGCAAGCGCTCTACCACTGAGCCACCTTCCCAGCCCCCAATTTCTATATTTGGTAGTCTGCCTTTTCTAAGATGTCAAATAAATGAAATCGTACTATATGTATACTGTAGTTTTTTAATGGACTACACATTTTTGGTTAAATTTTACATATGTAGACAAGTACCTCTGTGGCTTAGGTTTATAATCCTAGAGTTTGACATCTGAGAATCTTGGTTGGAAGCAAACCAAGGCAGACAAATCCAAGACACTATTATTTCAATTAATTTGGAACCACAGGTACGGCTCAAAGTGGTACAGTGGTAGCTGTAAGCAAAAAGAAAAGCTCAGCAAGAGCATAAGGCCCTAAGTTCAAGTCCAGAACCACACACAACCCCCACACACAAATTATATATGAAACAAATGTAGATGAAAGGGTTTTATAATTTGCACAATTTGTTAAAAGAGACTTGGTTCTCCTTAAGAAACAGTTTTCTAGTATGTGTTGCTGATCAGTATTATGAAGAACAGCCTCAAAAACAAATGAGAGTTAAAAGTTAAAGTTGGGAGAACCAAGAATAGATTTACACTATGTTTCCAAATCTCACGCCTTTCATAAGGCTCTCCTGAGGCTAACAAATCTTTGTGTGTTCTGACCCTACCACTGAACTCTTGCAGCTGAGCTTTCACCTGTTTTATTATTTATTGGATTCTCATGTAAAATTTCTCTGGAACAAAACTGTTTTAAAAATTAAAAACAATTAGTCACAATAATGAGTAACCTATGAAGTTATCCTCTAGTATTGAATATGTAGGATCCATTTTCTGAAAATAGAATTAGAAATAATCATTAAAACTATCTTCCAATTAAATGGAAAGGCTTGGAAAAAATTATATTAAGTGAAGTAAGCCAGGCCCAAAGAAACATAGGTCCCATGGTTTCCCTTATTTGCAATATCTAGTATAGGTATGAGTCAAGCGGAAAAAGTCAGATAATGTGATGTTAGGAAAACGAACCCTCAAATATGTATTTTAATGTTTTTGTTTCTTACATGCATGTGTTTCTAACACATTTATAAGATTATTTCTTTGTTGCTTTGGATGTCCCTCCCCCACAGTGTAACCCCCGCTTTCACTATATTTGATGTCAGTATAACATGTGGAGGAGACGGGGACAAACAAGTCGTTTAAGGATTCAGGTGGACCTGTTGCAACAATGAGAAGTACAAAATGTCATGTCAAAACCAGCTTTACAATGTCGGTGTGGGGGGGAAAGGGGGGGTATGATTGGGTGGGGGGGGAGGGGGAGGCTAGGAAGGGAGGGGAAGGGTAAACAAAGGAGGAGGCTGCAATGCTTGGTAAGAAATGTATGCATTATCCTGCCCGTGTAATTGTAACCCCTCTGTACAGTATGTTCTCAAATAAAATAAAATAAAATTTAAAAAAAAAAAAAACTATCTTCCAATTAATAGTTCCCAGACATCTACATTAGTTTTGAAAATATATTATGTATCAATATCCAGTGAGATCATGCAAATAAGCTAACTCCCTTAAACTCAATTAATACTCTAGATTCTATCCTATTTCAGGTACAAACATGCAATTACCTAATTCAGGATGGCTAATAAAAATAGAATACTGGAGATAGAGTTAAGCCCTGGATTCAAGCCCCTGTATATTCAACAACATACATACATACATACACAAATATACTAATCTAATAAATTAGTTTATATGACATGATAGTGACATTAAAACAGTTTCCAGCAAAGTGCCAGTGGCTCATGCCTAAAATCTTAGCTACTTGGGAGGCTGAGATCTAAGGCTGTGCTTTCAATCTAGCCTGGGCAGGTCCATGAGATTCTTATCTCCAATGAAACACACAAAAAGCTGAAAGTGGAGCTTTGGCTCAAGTGGTAGAGCACTAGTCTTGAGCACCAAAGCTCAGGCACAGTGCCCAGACCCTGAGTTTGAATCCCCAAGACTGGCTCAAAATAAATAAAATACTGTTTCTATATACTTCAAAATACTCAGTTATTTGCTTTATATAAGCTGATACTTCTATCATTAATGTTGGGCTATAAATATCTCCATTTTTTTGGTTCAAAATACAATTGTAATTCATGCTAACTATTCAGTGTTTCTGTAAGTTCTCTGCTGAGCCTCTGATCTTGTCATTAGGGCTATATACTCTTCTATTAGAACATGAGTAGAAATATGACATAAAAATCTATCAGCAGTATGTTACCTACTGAATTATTTAATATTTTGAGTATAAAACTGAAGGAGTAGTTAAGACTCAATGTTTGAAGATTACCTATTTGTTTTAATTATTTATGCTAAAATCTGAATTGACTCTGGCTAAAATAAAATACTGACATTTGATTGATAAAACTTCAAGAAAAATGACAACTTGGGGGAAAGCTTTATATAACAACTAAATTCATCAAAAGAATACAGATATTTTATGACACAAAACTAAAAACATCACAATAAACCACTCTGATATGTTTCATAGCAGATTGTTTAGAGCAATATGTTGACTTGTTTGATTTGTTCATTCTTTAGCAAGAAGAGCACTAAAGAGCACTATTATGGGACTTTATAAAATCTTGAGATTTTTATAGTGAGTAAACCATAATACTAAAACAGTATGTCAGCATCTGGGGCTTAAAAGAATAGCTCTAAGAAATATTGAAATAGTGCTCTCACGTATCAATAACAATGTATGTATGTATACATACATTTCTTTTGAACTTGAATAAGCAACTGATGTTTGATTAATATTTGAAGAATAAATGCATAGTGATTAAATGAAGACCTGGCTAGTGGGTTAAAAGCATAAAAACAGTGTGAATAAGAACTCTGATTGCTCTGAAGCAGGACAAAGAACAGAATAGGCTTTGTGGAGGTAGAGCACAGAACACTGTATAAAAGATAATGGTATATGATAAACCTAAAAAGGCAGGAACTAAATCATGGAAGACCTCAAAGCCTATATTAGAATTTTAGTAGTTATCCTACACCAACAGAAAACACCCAAAGATTTTGTAGAAGATAGAAAATCAGCACTTTGAAGACTATTCTAAGCTGGAGGCTGATGGCGCTTAACTATAATCCTAGCTACTCAGGAGGATCCTGCTTTAAAGCCAGCCTGGACAGGAAGTCCATGAGACTCTCTTATCTCCAATTAATCAGCAAAAAACAAGAAGTGGAGCTGTGGTTCCAGGGGTTAGTTCAAGCTCCAGAACTGGAACAAAACAAAACAAAACAATACAAAACCACCACCAAAAAAACCCACAGCTATATTATAGCTATCGTGAAAAAAGTGACTCAGAGGAATATAAAAAGATTAAAGAGAATGGAAAGATCAATCAGGTGACTACTGTCAGCAATTGGGGTAAAGCTGATGTACTCTAGACCAAGATGATAGGAATGTTAAAAAGAAGCTTAAGGGATAATATGAAGCTAAGAACCAGTTGGCCTTTGGAATAAGATGTAAGTTTTCAAATTTTCTGATTATTTTTCCATGTATTTATTTATCTAGATCTTTAGTGGTGCAATAGGAATTCAAGTGGGACCTATTACTTAGATTGTACTTACAGGCTCAAAGCTGAGTGATATAAGACCACACCATTAGAAGGTGAATAGTGTTAGGGATACAGTTCAGTGGTAGAGTACTTGCTTAGAAAGGGAGTAGCATGACTATATACTTAATAATTATAAATCAGATATAAAATTCATTTTATATATATTTATATAAAAATAAATATATTTATATAAAATTTATTTTATATCTATTATTTTATATGGAACATTATAAGCATGCTTATACTGCACCCATTTCATCACAGATTTATGCTATTGTACAAGCTAAGCATAAATACTGAATAACATTTGAAGTAAAAGGACACATGAAAAATTCTGAGTTACTAAAATTCTACCTTCCGGTGATGGTAAGTTATTGCTTCTCTCTCTCTTTCTCTCTCTCTCTCTCTTTCTCTTTCTTTCTTTCTCTCTCTCCTCTCTTTCTCTTTCTTTCTCTCTTTCTTTCTTTTTGTAGTTCTAGCATTTAACTCAGAGCCTCAAGCTTGCTACTAGCACATCAATTACACCCCCCAAGTCCCCTTTTCTTTTGCTTATTATTTTCAAGATAAGGTCTCACAAGCTTTTCTATCTGGCCTTGCCTTGAAAAATCTATCCTTCCACTCTTACCTTCTTGACATAACTCAGATTACTAACATTAGTCACCATTGCCTGGCTTCACAATTTTAATTTCTTAATGTTTGTATATGGCAAGACTTGCATGTAGTATTTGCATATAATATTTAACACGAATTATCTCAAATTCAACTCAAATTCTTCTTCTAGGAAGTCAGAATACTATAATGAATATCTATTGTACAAAAATAACACTAAAGATAGAATCATAGCAGCATGTAGTAGAAAATTCTTACCAATTTTTCATCAACTGTTATAAGTTGCATGTCTCGAGTTTGATCCTGTGCCAACTTCCATAGGGATATGCTCAACAACCTGCAGTAGGAAACTTTAAGTTAAAAAGTGATCCATTTAATGAAAAAAGAGAAGCAGACAAGTCTTATATAAACAAACTACTCAGCAATATGTGTCTCACTAAAAAAAATTAAAAAGAAAGGAAAAAAGAGGCACAAAAGTCCTTTTTCTCCTCCAACTGGTTCTTGTCTGCCGAGTTTTTGGAGACTCTCACTTTAGAGTTCACATCAGGTGGCACTTCATGTGAGTCTAGAGGCTCTCTGCCACATAAAGGCCACCATGTGTTCTGGAATGCTGATTCCTAGATGATAGTATCAGAAATGGAGGGTAGAGAAGAAGCTAAATTATATATTTTTTAAAAAGTGTCTTTACTCCCATCTCAAACCCGAAGTATTTTAATTAATGTCATAGTTTAATTCTACCTCTGGTTGCTGAAAGAGGACAAAGTCTGGTTAAAATCAAAATATTACACTGGCAATAAAATGGGCAAAGAATCTAGCTCATCTATATTAGAATATTTTCATCTCATCACACATTACTTAAAACTAGCAGTTTATTCATTTCAAGTATGAATTGTCAATTCAGGTACAAATACTTAAGTAAGTTTGGATAAATCAACTAATCATAGGATTTGTAAACAAATATTCAATTATCTCATATTTTATAGAAATGAAAAAAATCTCCTATTTGTGTCAAGCTGTATGTGAAGGTGATAATATTTAAAGACAACAATAGTACTGGAAACCACAAAATCACAAGTATTTTGATAAGAGAAGTTTTTTAAGATTTGGTAGACTACAAAGATATAAGAATTCTCATTTTCTGAAATAATACATTCATAAAAAAATACCCTAGGTAAGAGTACATATATAAAATGTGTTTGTAGTTTATATGCCAGTAACTTCTCCCTAAACAAAGACCAATTAATAAAAGTATCAAATCTCAAGGGGTGGGGGATTCTCTCTAATTTTATGTTCTTAAGGTAACAATAGAAATCCAGACTCAATTATGAACACATTAATAATTTTATCTACAACAGAATGTAGCGGAGTGGTGATAGACTTGCCTAATAATGTACAAGTCCCTTGGGTTAAATCCCCAGAACTTTACCTCCCCATCTACCTAAAATACATAATATTTTCAGTCAAATGTAAATGCTGTAGTAGGAAAAAAATAGTTACAATATAGAATTATTATAAAGCAATATCCAAAATAGGTAAAAGCTTTTACAAATCTATAAATAGAAGGTAATTTCTAAGTTTTAAAAGACATAAAACAGCAACAATAACAAAAACAGGAAAATGACCTGTATTGACATTTATCCAAAATTAACTTACAAAATAGTTAATAAGCACATAAAATTATGTTCAGCATTTCTAAGAAATCAAGGAAATACACAAAAATAACAAGGGTGAAAGGGTATAAAAAAGATATATGTTAGTAGAATTACTGAAATTGGAACTTTTGAGGGAATCCACACAGCGAATTTTTATTTTTTTATTTTGTCGGTCGTGGGGCTTGAACTCTGGGCTTGGGCGCTATCTCCCTGCGTTATTCAGCTCAAGGTGAGCACTCTACCACTTGAGCCACTGCGCCACTTCCGGTTTTCTAGCGGTTAATTGTAGATAAGAGTCTCACGGACTTTTCTGCCTGGGCTGGTTTGGAACCGTGATCCTCAGATCTCAGCCTCCTGAGTAGCTAGGAATACAGGCATGCACCACCAGCACCCGGCAACAGCGATTTTTTGAAAACCTTAAACACAGAATTACATGGTCCAACCATCTGCACTATTGGGTATATACCCACCCAACAGAAGTGAAAGCAGGGTCTTGAATAGATAATTTACAGTAATATTAATGACTGCATTATCTAAACTAGTTAAAGGTAAATATATCCCCAAGTTATCACATTATGGAAGTATACATGCATAAATGATTATTGTGCACATTACAAAACGAACGTTAATTTGGTGGAGGTGGAAGGAGAGGAGATTGAAAAGTTATATAATACAGTGTCAGTTTGAGACGATAAAAAGTTCTGGAGATGGGTAGGGGTAATGCTTTTGCACAAATATGTGTATGTACTTAAGTTCAATAAATTATACTTAAAATTATTAAAAAGGCATATAATGTATATTTTGTCAAAGCTAACAAGTAAAGAGGCTAAGTGTGGGAGCACATGCCTACCTATATCCTAGCATTTAAAAAGCTGAGGCAGAAGACCCTGAGTTTAGGCCTGCATGCACTAGATAGCAAGACCCCGTTTCAAACAAACAACAAACACAAGAGTATGCCCTGTGGAAAAAGTGCTGCCTTATGCTATAATCAGAAGATACACAAGTTTGTCAAAGCTGAAGGTTTATAACATTGCCTAGAGAAAGTCACTTCATATATGCACAGAGAAATATTATTATATCTGTATATATTAATCATCCATCTCACAAAATTTTTTAAGTCCAGAATAAGGTTTCTAAACTTCAACACAAGTATTTTTTGTACCACATCACACACCAAATTTTCCAAAATTATACATTTTTTAGAAACATCTAGTGCATTGTATTTGTTTGTTTTGTTTTTCGGTTGGTCATGGGGCCTGAACTCTGGGCCTGGTTGCTGACCCTCAGCTCTTCAGCGGAAGGCTAGCCCTCTACCACTTGAGCCACAGTGCCACTTCTGGCTTTTTCTGCTTATGTGGTGCTGAGGAATGGAATCCAGGGCCTCATACATGCAAGGCAAGCACTCTACCACTGAGCCACCTTCCCAGCCCTAGTGCTTATTTATATAACACAAAATTAGGTGCTTTTTTTTTTTCAATCTATCCTACCAATTAGCATCTTTGTGATTCTTCAGATCTTGCACTGAAACCACTGTTCAACACATTTTGCATAAACAGGTGATTCTGAATCTTCCTTTATGCATAGATTTATATTATCAGCAGACATAAGAATATTCTTAAATATACTTACGAAAATGTAATAAAACAGAAAAGCAGGCTTAAATGAACTACTCAAAGAACTAGTGAACATTTTTGGTTATTTCTCATTACTGCATTTTCAGTAATTCACCTTTTAGTGTCAAGATCTTAAACTGGTGATAGAAAAAACACTTGCCTAGTCTGCACAAGGCTCTGAGTGTGATCTTTAGCATAGAATGGGGAATCAGGGAGTAATCTTAATTCAATGAAGATAGGATTACTACAGAAGTTCTTGGCATCCTTTACAAAAAAATGTAGTAATTGACCATTAATAATTCTGCATAGTACTCATAAGGTCTAGACATTAGAATTGTACATAATATTCTATTTTTTTCCTAATCAAAAAGATTATGCTCCCTTGGAGGAAAAAGTGTGGCTCAAGTGGTAGAGCATAAGTCTTGAATGAAAAAGCTAACGTACAGAGCCCAGGCCCTGAGTTCAAGCCTAGGTCCAAGTATGCACATGCATGTGCATGCACACACACACACACATGCACGCACGCGCGCGTGCACACACATACACACACACAAGATTATATTCCCTGGCCATCTCCAAAGTTAAATATAGGCATGCAACTTATATTAACCAATGAAATATAAGAGGAGTTGACAGTAAAAGTTTTAAGTCAATGAATAATCAGTTGACTTCTTTCCTCTGCAACCAACAGTGCTTAGTAGAGATCCCCAAGTGAGACAATGTAGGAAAGAGTTTCCAGTTGCTCTACCTGGCACAGGCAGCATTAACAAGAAATATGTCTTTATTAATTTTTTAAATTTTTTGCAAGTCCTGGGGCTTAAACTCAGGGCCTGGGCACTATCCCTGAATTTCTTTTGCTCAAGGCTAGCACTCTACCACTTGAGCCACAGCACCACTTCCAGCTTTTTCTATTTATGTGGTACTAAGGAATCAAACCCAGGGCTTCATGCATGCTAGGCAAGCACTCTACCACCAAGCCACATTCCCAGGCCAGTCTTCGTTAATTTTTTTTTAATTTTATTTTTAAGGTGATGTACAGGGGGTTACAGTCACACAAGTAAGGTTATTTGTTAATTTTAAGTTACATATATTTTGGGGTTTCATATACTGACCAATATAGCTTCATAATCAATTGTCTATTCATGTACTTTTTTAAGGAATGCCATTATGAAATCTAAGGTTTTATGGTGTCTGTCTTAACTGACAGTTTAAGTTCAGAGTGTTCTATCTTGACAGTGTACTATTTTCAAGTGAATCAAGATGTCACTTTCTAAAATCTGTATTTTTTTTCTTTTCTGGTCGGTTGTGGGGCTTGAACTCTAGGCCTGGGAGCTATCCCTCAGCTCTTCAGCTCAAAGTTAGTGTTCTACCACTTGAGCCACAGCACCACTTCTGGTTTTCTGGTGGTTTACTGAAGATAAGTCTCACGGACTCTCCTGCCCAGGCTGGCTTTGAACCGTGATCCTCAGATCTCAGCCTCCTGAGTAGCTAGGATTACATACATGAGACAACAGTACTTGACTCCATATTGTTTTCTTAAGGGCAACGTGATTTATTTTCTTATGCCTCCACACCGGGAATGCTCAAAGAGCCATTAAATGCTTTGCTTCACAAAAACTCTAATATTTCATCTTGCAAAGCTCACTTTCTAATTTAAAATTTTCTGAAATATTACACATTTTATTTACATTTTAAAATATCTCATCTTTTTGCTTTTTTGCTTGTTAGGAATCTTTTTTGTTTAAAACATCTCTGTACAGCCATAACATCACTGAGATTATGATAGTATCATAAATATTTTTAAATAAACAATGATTAAAATCACAGAAAAAATGCCAAAACTGTAGGACATGGTATTTAAACAGACTAACAATACTGCACCAGCAACAATATTACATCAAAGATAAAGCAAATCTGGCTTCACTGGCATAGTATTTTTCAAATACTATGATGATCACAAGATTAAGAAGAATCTATCTAGAAAAAAATCATTACCATTTATATTTTTCACTTCACAAAGCAAACTGGAAAATATCCTGTAGTGACTGACTTAAGAGCTAGTCAGATCATGT